TGGGGGGGATTTGGGGGTTGTGGGGGTGAAACAGGAAAAACGCTCTTGGGATTTGGGAGAAAATGGGGGGGATGGGTGGTCTGCATGGGGAGGGGGGCTTTTGGGGGAGATCGCGGTTTTTTGGGGTAGAATCTGGGGTTTTTGGGGGGGGAATTTGGGGTTTTCCCCCAGATTTGAAGTCCTGCCCGTGTCGGGTCGGAGGAAATTGGGACGATTTTGGTGAGTTGAGAGTGACGCCATTCTGGGGTAAAAAGCAGGAATTCAAGGGGCAGGGAAGACCCCAAATCCTGGGGTTTCACCCCGAAATGGCCCTGTCAGAGTGAACTCCTGACAATCCCGACACGGGACAGCCCCAAAGGCTGCGGAAATGAGGGGAAAGTGCCCCAAACTGGTCGTGCGGGTTGAGGTGGGGCCGTGGGCGCGGCGCAGCCCCGGGTCCGGCCCCGAGGGCCTTCCTCGAGCCCTGCGGAGCTTCATTAAGCATTGGGCTGGTTAATTAAGCACTAGGCATGTTAATTAAATGCTAATCAGAGCCACCAAGGAGTGACAGAGCTGTGACAGCGATAGGGGCAGTGCAGCCCCCCCAAATAAGGCCAAACACGGGGGTTTCTGTCACCCCAAACTCCAGAACAGCCCAAGGCTCAGGGACACCCCAAACTCAAAGACTGTGCCCCAAAAATGCAGAAATTTACCCTAAAATGGGGGTGAGGAGGGGCCCAACCCACCCTCCCACCCAGGGGGGGTCCCCCCAGTTCCCTGCGCCCCCACCCCGACAGCACCAGCTCCCCTTTCCCCCCCTCCCCACATACGTTTTTGGGGTGAAGTTGGCAGAATCGGCCTCTTTTCACCCCGTTTCGGGGTCCTGCAGCCCCGGCAGGAGCCGTGGGGCGAGGGCTGGGCCCGGCTGCAGCTCAGCTGCCCCTCCTGCCCCGCCGCTGGGGAAGAAACACCGGCCAAGAGTGAAAAAACCTCAGCGAAAACCACCCGAGTTCCGGGAAAAAGCAGCGACACCCCTCCGCGAGGCAGCTCCGACACCCCAAAATCCCCTTTTTTGGCTCGGGGGGCGCGGTGGGGGAGCCCCCTCCCCAGCTCCCAGGCTGCGGGCACGGAGGGCAGCAGGTCCCGGGGGCGCTTTTTGCCCCGTTCCGCGGGGTTTTTGCCCCGTTCCGGAGTTGTGGAAGCGCCGGGAGCCCCCCCGGGCGCGGGGTCCCGCTGTGTCACCGCCTGTCCCCGGCTGTCACCTCCCGGGGCCCGCTCCGTACCTCTGCAGCCACCCGGGGCTCGCCGCTTTTTTGGTTTTTTTTTTGGGGTGGGGGGGGGTGTGGAAGAAAACAGCGGCAAATGAGAATTTCTCACCCCAAACTTCCTCGAGCAGGAAGGCGAGGCCGCCCCCGCCCCCCCCCCACCCCGCATGAGCGGGACCTAGGGGGACATTGGGGGGGGGGCTGGACATTTTTGGGGTGTGTGAGACACACTCACTGTGAGCCCCCCTCTCTCCCCCCAAGTCAGATCCCACTCCCCCTTTTTAATTTGTTTTTTTACCATTTTTCCCACAGGAAAGAAGAAAAAAAACTGAATTAAAATTAAGGAGTTTTTAATATGCGTTGCCCATTTTCTACATCTTTTTGCCCATTTTCTACATTTCTCCCCCAAAAACGGGGAGGCAAGAGGGGCCTCGGGGAGAAAAGCAGCGATTCTGGGCAATTTTGAAGAGTTTGGGTGAGAAATAAGATGGAAATGGAAAAAAAAAACCCAGAAGATATCACCCCAAACCACCTGCTGGGATGGCAGGAAGAGACACTGGTGAGCAAAAACGGGGGTTGGGTCAAAAAAACCCAAAATTGGTTGGGTAAAAACCAAAGAAAAGGCATTGAGGGTGTGGCACAGCCCCAGTTCCAGGGGGTTTTGGGCCAAAAGCAAAAAAAAAAAAGGACAAAATTTGGGACAAAACCAAAAAAGTACCAAATTTAGGGGAAAAATTAGAAAAAAAGAAAAGCCCAGCTCAGGGGCAAAAGCAAAAAGGAACCAAATTTAGGGTTAAAAAAAAAAAGAAAAAAGAGGACAAATTTGGGGTCAAAGCAAAAAAGGGCAAATTTCCACCCAAAAAGGGCCCAAATTCCACACAAAATAAAAGGGAATGGGGTCCAAATTAGGTGTAAAATCCCCAGTTTTGAGGATTTCTTTGCCCTGGCTCTGTCTGGGCTTTCAGGGTTATCCCAGCCTGCCCAGGGCTGGGTTTGGGTGGGAATCAGGGATTTTGGGTAATGGGATCAGGGATTTTGGGTAATGGGATTTTGGGTGGGATTCAGGGATTTTGGGTAACTGGATTTAGGGATTTTGGGTAACGGGATTTAGGGATTTTGGAAAATGGGATTTTGGGTGGGAATCAGGGATTTTGGGTAACAGGATTTAGGGATTTTGGAAAATGGGATTTTGGGTAGGAATCAGGGATTTTGGGTAACAGGATTTAGGGATTTTGGGTAACGGGATTTAGGGATTTTGGGAAATGGGATTTTGGGTAGGAATCAAGGATTTTGGGTAATGGGATTTTGGGTGGGAATCAGGGCTTTTGGGTAATGGGATCTGCAGCAATTTGGGAGCAGGACTCTGAGGCTTTGGGGTTTGACCACTTCTGGAGTTAATTAGGCCCTGCTTCATTAGCACTTCATTGGGGGGCTTCATTAGAGCCCCCACTTCATTAGCAGGAGCATCATTAAGGCCTCTCACTTCATTAGCAGGGTGTCATTAAGGTTCCCTCCTTCATTAATGGAGGTGTCATTAGGGTTCCTTGCTTAATTAGAGCCCCTCATTTCATTAGCAAGAATATCCTGAGAACCCCCTGCTTCATTAGAGCCCCCCAGTTCATTACAGGGGCTTAATTAGGGCCCCCCACTTAATTATTGGGAGCATCGTTAAGACCCCTACTTGGCTGGGAGGGTGTTAGGGCGCTAATTAAGGCAAGGCTTCGTTACTTAAGGACTCACAGGGCCGGGGGTTGCATCGCTCGTGGGCAGCCAGCAGCGCCATGGCCAGCAGGTCCTGCAAAATGGGGGAAAAACAGCAGCTTTAGGCAAAAAACACCTCCATTCAGGCAAAAATTTTATTTTTTATTAAAAAAAAAGACAATGAAAAAGCGGTTTTGGTACGACTGACCTTGTCAGAGATCCTCCACCACGGTGTCTTCCTGGGGAGGAGAAAAACAACCAGAAAATCATTTTTGGGGGAAAAAAACGCCCTTTTTGGGGGTCTGGAATGTGAGGGGAGGGCTTTGCCCGGTTTGGGGGGTACCTCAAAGACCCCCAGAACAAGAATTAGCATTTAACCCCCTTAAAGCTTCAAGTGACCCCAAAAGCCCCCAAACCCGAAGTTTTTTAATGCCTAAAAAGCCCTAAATCCTCCCAAAAGCACAGCAAGGGTTTAATCCCCAAAGCTCAGCGTGAGCACAGGTTTAACTCGGGCTCGTACCTCTGTGCCTCACTCATGGTGCAGGATCAAAGGTTTCTCTGAGGTTTAAGCTATGATTATTTGTTATATCTTAGTAAAATTTAAGATGCTGAATTGAGTTTTTGATGGCGGCAAAATCGCCTCAGGAGCTCTGGCGCCTTCCCGCCTTTTTCCTTCGCCTCAGCGGCGTTATCCCCGCCCCTTCCCGGGTCCCGCCTCCTATAGGCCCCGAGTCCGAGCCGCCAGCCAATCAGAAGTCAGATTTTGAATAAGCCACGCCTCCCTCCCCGACTCGTGCCGCTATTATGGCGATATCAGCCAATCAGAGATGAGGAGCGCAAAGGAGACGTCGCTGATTGGCTGGACGCCGTGAGGGGAGAAGTGTGAAGGGAGGGGCTGCTTGTGGGGGTTTGTGAGGGGAAGGGGTCGGGGAAGGCGCTGCGGACACGACGCGCGGGACGAGAGAATTCGGGAGAGGAGACAAACCCGGCTGGTGCTGGGCGGCCTCAAGGGGCTCAGGGGGTCGCGACCCTCCCTTAGCAACAGCCGCCGGCCGAGCGGCGTCGTGCGGGGGATTTTTCTGATTGGCCGAGCCCCGCAGCTCCTGGCCAATGAGCGCGAGCCACGGGACCCTGCGCGTCCCCGCCCACCCCCGCGCCGGCTGAGGGGCCGCTCGGAGCGTACCAAGCGCGGGCGCGCAGGGGGGGAGCCCAGCGGTTCAGGGTTTAGAGGGGTCCCGGCCTCCCACACTCCTCTCTCAGGGGAGGACGAGGCGGCTCCTCAGGATCTCTGTAGGGAGGAGCTGCTCTGGGGGGCGAGGTGGGGGGAGCAGGTTGGGAGTGAACCCCTCCCGGTCTCCCCCCCCGGGCAGCGGGTGGTGCGGTCCGGGCGGAAGTGAGGTGTCGCGCGCTGAGGCGGTTCCGGTGTGGGAGCGGCCGGGGCTGGGGGGGCTGAGGCGGGGTCGGGCCCGGTGAGTCCCGGGGGGCGCCGGGGGCGACAGCGGGGCCTGGGGGCGGGAAGGGCACCGGGGGGGCGGCGGGAGGAGCCGCAGGCAAAGGGGG